GGGGGGAGCCCCGAGCCCCCGGGAAGGGTTGGGGGCAGCTGCCATGGGATCATGGCGTACCCGGCCAGTGCCCCTCTTCTCTCTTCTCTTCCCCGCAGGGACCCTTGGGCCAGAAGGGCTCCAAAGGCTCACCAGTGAGTACTGGGGAGGGATGGGGACAGGGTTGGAGGCGGGGGGGGGCAGCTCCTAATGTGCTCCCAGGGGAGAACCCGACGCCGACAGCAAATGCCGCGGTGCTGAGTCCCCTTCTTTTGCAGGGTGCGCTGGGTCCTCGAGGTGACACAGGCCCCCCGGGTCCCCCAGGCCCACCGGTGAGTAAGGGATGCTCTGGACGGACACCACTTCATGTCTGTCCCCTCCTGGGAGGGCTCCGATGTCCCCAACCCCACCTCATCCTCCCGCCCGGCCCCACATTTTCTCCTCTCACCCCACATTTTCTTCTCTCACCCCTTCATCCCTCTCTGTCCCAGGGCCGCCCGGCTGAGCTGCTCGAACCGCTGCCCTCGAGCCGGAGCAGGAGGCACCGACGGGCGACCGAAGGGGCTCCGGGGGAGCAGGGAGCCCCCCCGGATTACGAGGGGCTGGAGGAGGTGTACGCGTCCCTCAGCTCCCTGCGCACGGAGGTGGAGCAGCTGAGACGGCCCCTGGGCACCCCCGAGAGCCCCGCGCGCGTCTGCCGGGAGCTGCAGCTTTGCCACCCGCACCTCCAGGACGGTGAGGTTTTTTGGGGAAGTCGCTTTGAGGGAAGGGGGGGACACCAAAACCTTCTTCCTCGGACTTTTTATCACGCCAGGCGGTGCCCGTGCGGCGTGACCATCTCTCCGTCTGCCTGTCCTTCCCTAGGCGAGTACTGGATTGACCCCAACCAGGGATGCTCCCGAGATGCTTTCCGGGTTTTCTGTAACTTTACGGCCGGCGGTGAGACCTGTCTTTTCCCGGAGAAGAAATTTGAGGCTGTGAGTTCGGATCGGGGGCTGGAGAGGAGCTGGCTGTCAACTATATCC